GGATCTCCTGTGTCTGCAATCTTTTTTAAAGTGCATAAAATTTTCAGCTAACATTCATCCTTACTAAGCAAGAATAAACAGATGAACACTAGCTCTGAGTGACTACAAATTTAGCTGAAGTGGATATGATAGGCAAATATAGCACTTCACTGTGGACCTTGGCTGTGTGGGAGGACAAGACTTCCTGCAGAGCACACCTGCCATATTTAGTAGAACCGGCCAGGTTATGATCTGTGACTCTCAGAGCAGTCATGTATTCTACACTGCTTCTGCAGCCCCTCAGACTCCAGATCCCTGAGCCTGCTAAGCTAAGTGATGAGCTGCCAGCTAACCTTCAAAATCACTACATTAGTTTGGAAGAGTTAATGCACCTCAAAGTACTTAATTTTCTCCTAGGGAGTCATGTGCTTGTTGGTAGGAAATGGATGACTAAGCAATCATTATCAACCCCATGGGATAATTCTAGCACAGGGAAGCAAACACTCCAGAGAGGAACAACATGCACTACAAAGCTTACTTACTGTGAACTGAAAGAGGCAAGCAGCATTGAACATTGGAGGATAAATCATGACATCACTGTTATTAGTGTCATATGTTTCCCCTAAACATGATAGGATTTCTCTTCTAGGTTTCATGGCAAATATTTCACATTATAAGTCTTAAGTAATGGATTTCACTGCAGTTATTTGCCTTGGCACATCATTATATTTGTATTTCCATACATTAGCAAAAATATTATCTCTGCCAAACTATAACTGGAAACACCTTGAATCAAACAACTGCTTCCACCTTAATTAAAATACAAATCAATACATCAATCAACATGCATTTATTGAATATGCCTTGTATAGAAGGTGCTACCCTGGGCATAATGGGATGCAGAAATCAGTGTAAGACATGATCTTTATCCTCACAAGTCTTAGAAACTATCATTTTATTCATACTTTTAGCATTCATATTTTTAGCATCAGACATGTTTACAATAAAGAATTATATTAGCTTAAGAATTCCAAATGCTAGTTGAGAATCATATTGAGAAAAATAGAAAATCTCTAGAAATCATTTCATTGTTTAATAATTTTTTAGAATCTAAGACTTTTAGTCTTTTCAAAATAGAAATTTAAGTATGTTGCCTTCACAGTGAACTTAGTGTACTAAGATTTTCATCCAAATGACATTATTCCTATTTAAAGTTTTAATATATTTATGCATAAAACCAAATTCCAACTTCTCCAAAAATGCTTTTTTTTAAATCAATTAAACATTTTCTACAAAGCATATATTCAGGTCTCTATATCACTGAGAGTGATATCAGATTCTTGGTATACTGTTGAAGGCACCAAACACTGCAGCATTTGGTCATTTTCTTTAAGTCCCAAAACAAAGTGAAGCAGCATATTTTAGCAGAGCGCAGGCCCAGGCGCTGTCAGCTTAGCGATGGGGGTGATGTCACTCCTCCAGAAGGCCCTGGCCCTCTTGAGGCCCAGCAGATGTCATATTCTTTGTTTATACTCAATTCGGCATTGTCCTTCTGGCTGGGGGACTCCCACCAAATGGAGAGAACTCTAAAAACAAAAAATGCCAAGAAATATGGAAATTAAGAGACACAGGGCAACAGTTATTAGACCTAAGGTTTATTCAATTGTAATTTTCCCTAAGAGGTACAGAGTTCAAGTTTCTAAGGTTGGCAAGTGTTTGTATCAATGAATTTCACAATGTCAAGCATCATCTTTAGTCTTCCATTCAAGGAGGTGAAAAGGAGGAAAATCTCTTATTCTAATAACAATCTTTTCACAGCTTCACACGCCTCAAGCTATGGGCCTGCCTCCTACCCTTCACTTTATCTGGCTAAAGAGGATAGCACAAATAAGACTCTTTCTACATTTCTGGCCCCAAAGCTGTGACACTTCATTTATAATTGCTTAGTGAGATCACTATGCAACATGGTTATAGGTGTTTAAAAACTATGTGGAGTGGGTGATATGAACCACTGTTACAGTGCACTTATGACCATGACTTTCCAAAAGGATATTTTGTGGGTTCCAAATGTTGTGATTTTTCTCTCCCTAGTTAGGAATGAGGTATGAATCTGTGTGGGGATGAGGGGAGGTTAGTGTATTGTAAGTAATACAAAGATTTTTGAGGCTTGGGGGCTTGAAAAAGAAAAGCAACCTGTTCTGTCAATCTTGAAGGCTGTAGAGAGAGGAGGAATGAGGAAAGAGGAGGTGGCTTCAATTTAGATAATCAGTCTGTTTTCAAGTTTTAATGCAACCGGGCACAGAATGGGCTCCCTAGCAAGGAGATTCTTAGGAGAGTTGTTAGAATGAGGTGCAGGGTTCCCATGATCCCAACAAAATTGCATCCACAATTTTGTGTGTATAAATACATACTCTTCTAGAGAGGGGATCGATAAGTTTTGTGAGATTTTCTAAGAATCCATAACCCCCCAAAAGGTAAAATGAAACAAAACCAACCAAACAGACAAATAAAAATCTACTATGTTAACAAAAATGTGCTGTTTTTGCAAAAGAATTGAAGTTGTCTTTTCATGAATGCTCAAAATGGAATAGTCTCCACAGCCAGCATCAGAACACTGCTGCCCAATCACGGGTCCTTAAAAGGTTTGTAGTGTTTCCATATTGTTTGGTTCATAATGGGAAAGAAGTGACATCAAATTAATTTCTTAAAGACGCTTTGAGGTAAAATAAGACACCAGGCTGTTGCAAAATTAAAATTGGAGATTCTAGCATTTAATTTTTTCTACTATGGCAAGTCAATTCCTTTGGGGGAGTTGGTTTCCAAGTCCACTGATTTCTCAGAACACGCTTTGACAACCCATCCCTCAATTTCCTAGAGAAGTTTGTTTATTTGAAGGTTATTTCCTGTATTTTTTGATCACCTCATTTCACAATTTATTAAAACAAGTCCAATAATTAAATAATT